AAACGTAATTAAAAGAACTAAACAGCGATCGCATGGAACTAACTAATCTATTTTACCTATCGAGACACAATTTGAAGCCTATGTCGATGCCATTAGATACCATTAGATTATGGCATACCATTAGTTGTTGCTGGGCTATCATATAATGATGCTACAAAAATCTAATTTAGATAGTAACAAGGCCAGGATTTGGACCGTTCCCTTATAAAAAGACCGTAAAACATTCCAAAGCCGTAGAATAAGACTCTACATCCGAAAGGAACAACAAGAACAAACAGAAAGGCTCTAAAACAGATAGACCCAGAATCTAAAACACAACTAGATGAATTACAAACATAATTTTTTTAAGACACTAACGAACCTGGGATTTTTTAACATTACTTCAGGCTGGACCTAGGGGGGGGGCAGCAATATCACTTGACTTAGACAATCCATTGGTGAATTGGTGGGACTGAACCCGAGACCTCAGGGACTGATGTCCCGCGCTCTAACCACTAGACACTAGACCCACTCCCCAATCACACATATAAACATAAGAGGAGTATTTATACCGGAAATGTCAATGGTAGTACAACTAAACACCGACGTTTCGTCGTGTCGCCGGCTCACGGCGGCGACATGCCGGTTCAAAAGGACCGCCATTCTTATCATTGACCTCTGTGATAAGACGATGGCTCTGTTAACAGACGATCGATTGATCAGCAACACCGCGGCTGTGATAAGCCTAAATAATACTTCGGTTATGAGCGAGATACAAAACATTTTTGTGACAAATCTACGCAAAGTGTTTGTGTATTTTGATTACATTGTTGTAAGTTTTTAGAAATATTTGAACACTTCATTAATGTTTCAGTAAGGCAAGGCCGATGTTGAAAAAGTGTTCAAGCTAACAAAGTTTAGACAAATCTACACCTAGTGAGTACGTTTCTTTATTTGAGTGTTTTTTCATGTAACCTACATTTAATTTACTTTTTCATACGTATTTTTAAAACCAAATATTAAAACATTTGATTTGTGTTTCAGTAAATTAGGATAACTTTTTAAAAAGTTTTCAAAGTAATGACGTTTAGAAATATAATTGAGCTTTCGGTTCTGTGACAACAAATTAGGAGAGTTAATTTGCAGTACTGTGTTGTGAATTGTACAAAGAAGTAAAAACAACTATTCAAGTTAGAAAAAAAAGAAATAAAGGCACTTTTGTTTGAATTTATGCTAATATTGGTTTTAAATGTTGTTAAATATTAAATATAATATTACGGAGTGTAAAATTCACGAGTAAAATCAGATTAGAACAAAATAGCAACCAAGATTTGCTAAGATGCAATATTTATTTATTAATACTGTATTTGTGTGATGAAACGAAATGTAAATGCTTCTTTATTGAGGCGAACTTAGGACCTCATGGTCCTTTCTTACAACTTAACCTCTAACAATACGTGTGACGAACACGTTAATAAAAGCCGGACTTATACAGTTAATTTTTTCAATGATATTAATGAATCCAAAAATAATCTCTATTATAAAACTATGTGTGTATAGTAAACTTATCATACGAACAAAAATAATTAATTACAATGAAAATACTGTACTTTTTTCTAAAAGCCCTCGAATTAGAAAATAATTGAGAAGAATATATTGATAAGATGGTGGGTCGTTTACCCAGTCACTGAATCATCCGATAATTAAAATAACTTGGATTAGTATCAACATAGTTCAAGATAGCTTTATCATCTTAGTTTTAAGCCTCCGTTTGTATAAGTTTTATAACAAACGCATCTGTACACCGTACTCTATGTAACTATGTAATAACCCTACAAGTAACGATATCTTGTCCGAAAAATCGTTGTGAAAAATACCTACCTATGACTAGGATTCCAATATACTATATTAAACGGTGGTCCGACAAAAATTTCACCATTTGAAAAACTAAGCTCTGTACAATGGACTTTAGCCCAGTGTTTTATATATATAAAAAAAAAACAATGTGAATAATAGAACATTTTCGGTAAAGTAATTTGAATGCGATTATAAAAGATTAATCAAGTTTGTTTATTTAGTCAAAATAAATCAAGAAGTAAAAAAATCTGCTTGTTATTTTCCTATAAATAACACTTTACCATTGTTAAAACATGTAAAATCGATGCGATTACTTTTTTAAGTACTTAAATAAACTTTTAGGTTTTATTTGTAGTTGGGTATTCGATTGGTAAAATTAAACTGGTCTTTGATAGGTTGGTTTGATAGGTACAGTACCATGTTTTAGTTTAAGCGGGTGAAGAGATTTAGAGTTATACATAATTTTCACACTGTTTGAGAAGGCGAAGCAAATCAATTGATAAGCACGTGGTATAGTTCAAGTTCAAACCATTTCTATCGTCGAATTCTTCATTCATATTTTAGTCTACGATACTTCTATGGTCTATGACAGGACCGCAACTGAAATTTCGTGGACGATGAAACTGCCCCGATATTTTAAGCAGAACTGCCAAATGCCTATTTAATTTAATTTTACACAACTGTGGTAGGTTTGTTTTTTCTAAAACTATGTCGTTGGTATTTGGAATTACAAAATGATATTCTATAACTGTTGCTGTATCAACCCAGAGGTAATTATAACTATCTAGATATGTTATTATGTTAAAGGGACACTCGTTCTTCGAGGCTGTATCACTTTTGTTCCGCGGTTGAAGGCTTATTTCTTCAAATCACTTATGCTCCGGGGGTCAGCAGGTAGATTTCGGGACCGGCCGAAACATCACTTTTGTTCCGCGAGAGGGGGCTGTATTCTCCCTCCCAAAAATCCTCTTTTTCACCCTCCTCCTAATTCTTTCTTTCATGCTGGATCAAACTCGTCAAATTATAAGTTTTTCCTTAACAAAAATATAAATAATTTAACCTAACCTAAACTTTGAAATAAAAATTAGGAGGAGAGCGAAAGAGAGGATTTGGGAGAGTGAAAGTGCAGCCTCTCTCGTGGAACAAGAGAGATGTCCGCGGAACAAAAGCGACGTTTCGGCCGGCCCCAAAATCTACCTACTGACCCTTGGAACAAAAGTAATGTAAAGAAATAGCCCTTCAACCACGGAACAAAAGCGACACACTAGTCGAAACTGAATTTTCTTCGTTGAGGAGCACGGGTACAGCAGCCAGTGTTTTATAAAAGCCACGAACACTGCAATACTGCAATTGTAGTTGCACAGCAACAAAGTAACACGAGCAACTTGCTGATCTGCTGAGTCTACGCTGCTCGACTGGCGAGTGCTGAGCCGTGGATCATGGTACAAAGGTCAAACTACCGCACTGATCCAACGAGTCTACGAATCAAACAATCACATAATGTTGGCTGATAAAAAATTACGAAGATGCTGATCATCGTACGAAGGGTAGAGTTCGCGACTTGTGAATCAGTTCAATGAATCAACGACTACGAATCAACGAATCGTTGACAAGGAAATACACATTGTTGTTCTGATGTACAAGTAAATCGCTGATCCATTTGCAGGTTCAAAGAACGAGAGTTAAATTACACAGATTACTACTTGTTGAGTGTTCAAGTAATGTATTGACAAAATTTACTTTTCTTAAGACCTAATTGGCGTTTAATATCTGTCTGTCTATAGTCAATCTACAAAATATAAATTGTCAAAACACCACAGTTTTACCCCTGAATCTAACACCAACACGAATATAAATTGAATTACATTCTGTACCGTGAGTAAAACAAGAACAGAACAGCATGAGAATTTAATTCTCGATTAAATAGTGTAGTTAAAAACATCCTATCTGTTGCGTTTGTAATCAAGATATTATTTTTTCCTCAAAGCATTTCTTGGCTTCAAACTTAATAGGCTAACAAAAAACACCATATTTAGCATCTAACAATGTGTATATGTTTATATAATGTTTAGGAAAGTTTTGCATAGCCTTCAAAATAAATAGCCTTATAAAATAAACAAAAAAAAGCATTAAAAATTTTATAGAATCAGGTGACAACACGGTGCACAACAACGTTATCGCAAGGCATAACACAACCTCTGAAACCGAAAGTAAAACTAGTTTTGCGTTTGGGGCAGGAAGAAACGAAAGAGGCTCATGCTGGCTGATCTCAGAAAAGAATTAAAAGATTTAAAGCAACAAGAAGACTTCTAGGAAGTAGAGAAACCGGTCTAAAGGGGTTTGTTTTTGTGACTCTTTGTTGGACAGGGCGAGGGGGGGAGGAGCGATTTTGAATGGAACATTTGGCGGGAGATGACTGCGGTGTGTAAAACGGCGCGAACACGTGGCCCCCGCGTGTATACTGAGAAGACATACAATTCTACGGCAAACTGAAGTGTTGTGAACAAAGGTGCAGCGGTGATAAGATACCGAACACGATGCGTCGAGGAGTGCTTAACCATTGTGAAATATAATAGCTTGTGCATTTAACAAAACTCAAAATATTCTGTCTGTGATTATTTACTACAAATTCTCACTATCGTGACGTAATTCATATCCAAAACAAATTAACTTATTTAAACTATGTGAATCCTGTTCATTTGTGTTATATTTTCACATAGAGTAATAGGTGATGATTTATAGTAACAACAACGGAAAGATAATGTAATATATGACCCAAAAACACATCAGTACGTTTAACAGATTATCAAGTATAAAGGGATTTGCAAATAAAATAATTAACAAGTGCTAACAATAAGTGAATACAAGAAAAGTATTTACAGTACTCGTATATTTTAGTTTCCCACTGATTACCAGTATTGTTGTGAAATGTGAAACACATTTATTTACAGAGCGAAATGTGACTCCAATTAGCGTGCGTCGTCTGAAGCTGGTGATAACTCATTATCACTGTGTTTGTGTTATCACCTGAACATTGAACTGAAGTTTGAACATCGTTGAACACAACCTAAATCATTGAACACAATACCTTTCAGGTGTTTAAACGAAGACTACGATTGCTTAGTGAAGATTGAATTAGTGAAGAGAAGTTTCTAAAAACTTACCTTCCGGCTCGGGAACCGAGTTGGCTTTTTTGTCCTCCGGGTCCAAATCTATCTGGTTCCACACCAACACGTGTTTGCCGCCCGTGTCACCGTTTGCACGCACGTTCCCCGGCATCCTAACACCAACTAACTAACTACCCTAACCTAAACCTAAACCACTCGAGTACTCTTGTTAACGCCATGTTCGGCCTTCGCTGACGGAATTGGCGGCGCTTGTGTTAGTTCGAAAAACCGCCGCTACGGAGGCTGAGCGCCACTTGCCGGCGCCGACGCAGAAGGTATTCAAATACTTGGAATTGGTTCGCGAGTACATTTTGAATTTTTGTTCAGGTGTATATCGAACTATTCTATTCTCTATTATGCATAAATTTAATTCGTAAATGTTATCTTCAATCCAAAAATTATATAATATGTAAATCAATCAATCAAACAATATTAATAGGCAAGCATGTTTCTTGAAAACGTTTTTTCTCAGCACGTGTGCATCGCAGGGAACAAAAATATTTTTCTGTAGATGTGCAGAAGAATACATTTATAAATAAAAAAAACGAACAAATAAACACAAAAAATGATGTTTTTTTAAAACTAACAAGGGCCTTAAGGGTTGCAATGCTTGTGGCGAAATAACAACGAAATATAAACAGAAAATCAAAACAAATGGAAGAAATTCCAATCACAACCGCATCTTTTATTTACAGCGTGGGTGAAAAATTGTATATACACGTTGGAAATGTGTGTGTTATCGTTATCTATAAACGAGTTTGTTGTTTCATTAATGAAACCGAAAGGTAATTAATCTACTATTTCATACAACACATCTAAAGAGCCGCATGATGTTCTACGAAGCACGGGTAGTTACAACTACTAACTTATAACAAACAATATGAAATAAGGAACACATCCTTTCTTCAATAGTTGTCAGTATATAACGAGGAAGTTAAAGTGATAGTAGTAGCTGATAAGATAGATTTTAACTTTAACTCTTCCATGTTTCTTCGTAGGCTAATACTATATTCCACGTATACTGTATTATAAGAAATGTACAGGGTGTCCCAGAACTCTCTACCAAAATTTTAGAGCATTGTTCCTGAGTTAGAAACATATGTAAATACCATATTTAAATTTTCCAGAAGTCCATACTTACTTACAGAGCCGCCATTTTGTTTTTTTCACTTATTAATTTTTTTCCAAAGAATGGTTTAACATGTGAAATTGAAACTTTGCACAAACATTTATGACAACCAAACAAACCTAGAAAAAAATTATTAAGATTTTCCAAATTCATAAAACAAACTGGTGGCCATTTAACATTTTGTTTCTTAAATAATTCAAAAACCGTTGATTTTACAAAAATTTTAAATGGCCGCCATTTTGTTTTATGAATTTGGAAAATTTTCATAATTTTTTTCTAACTTTTGCTTAGTTGTCATAAATGTTTGTGCAAAGTTTCAATTTCGTATGTTAAACCGTTCTTTAGAAAAAAAAAAATAAGTGAAAAAAAACAAAATGGCGGCTTTGTAAGTAAATAAGGACTTCCGGACAATTTAAATATGGTATTTACATATGTTTCTAACTCAGGAACAATGCTCTAAAATTTTGGTAGAGAGTTCCGGGACACCCTGTATACATCTAAAGCCAACTTGAGAAAGCAACTAAAGTCGTTTATTCTTTCGCACTATACTTAACAGTATTCGAAAACTTGTTTTTTTTGTTTGATAAACATTTTAGAAAATGAAAGCTCCAATTATAGACGATCGATTCTCGCATACCAAAAGCTGGGAAAAAGTTTTTGGTCAATAATAAACCATTGGTTTTCAATCCGAGAACATAAGTGTCATAAGCCCTTCGTTATGACTGAACTTAATGAAACCGGGTTTATAATTAATTCATAGCGATCTGGTTAAGTTAACATTCCACAATATTTAAATAGATAGATTAGGCTAAAGACCGTGCGTGGGAATCCACGAGCTGAATAATTGAAAAGTTGCATCTTTTATTTTATTCTTGAACAATAATACGAACTTTACTGGATAGATAAGCTACTCCCTATACAGAAGAGGCAGCTTTAACTTTGATTGTAGAGATGGGTTAGGCTTGACGCCAGAACCGACTAGAATTTCGCATTAGTATTATTGATACAGATTTTAGAGACAATTGACATAAAGGCCACACATGTTTGAAATTACGTGTAACTACTTTCTACGAAATGGTAATTTACGTCATACAAATGCGTAGTTGGTAATTACATTTGTAATAGTACAGTGTGGAGACAAATTATTTGATTCTACGTGGGTGTTCAATAAAATGTAATAATTTTAAGTTTTACGCAGAAATACGAATTTAGTGTGGAATGATTGATTTTGTATGAGCGGTTTTAATCTTTTTGGCATACTTTCTACCAGTTTTTGGAAATAATATTTTATTTCATGGTATTGGTGTCAAAAATGTTAAGTCTCTTTCAAATTTAATTGCATTTCATTTCATTTACAGAATAAAAACACACAAAAATGCAGAATTACGTAAAATTGTCTGATACTCGTACACTGTTGTTAAAATATTACTAGACAACCAACAACACATCGACGTATACTTCGACAAATTGTTTTTTTTTTTTTTTTTAAGTTATAATTCTTTTGGATTATAGTAGATATACACTTACTTTTATTGTGTGTATTACACAGACTTTGAGAAAATTTGTGAAGAATGTTTACTGTACAACAGTAAACAATATTTTCAACAAAATTAAACCTGTTTTTTAGGTTAAAGTACTATTGAATTGATGTTACAATTAATTAGCTAAACAATTCAATTGAATCCAACAATTTATCACCTCTATGTAATTTGCATACTAATATAGTGATTTTATTACAGTACAATAATTCGTAAACGTTGCATACAGAAATTATAATCAAAAAACTTTGGAAAGATCCTCAAGTTATTGTTGTTTATGACTGACGGTGAATTTCAAACGATCAGCTGTTTATATTGTTGGTTTGTTGTAATTATTCAAAATGATACAACCATGATTATCCATCATCCATTCGATATTCAGTCAAATGTTTAAAGAAGGGGAACGTATAGAATAAAAGATGGAAACAGAAAAAAAAACTTATATAAAATAGGAATAGAAGAGTAAGAAAACAAGAATAATAAATTGAAGAAAAGATACCGTCCACAACTAAAAGTTAAATTTAGACTAATTTCATAATTACATAAAAATGTCATAAATATGATTACAGTTTAAGTGTAAAAGAAAATAGAAAATACCCCCGCCGCAGCAAACCTGCCGACTAAGCGAATTTCCATTTGTCTGAATTGATTTTCAGTTAAATATATTTTAATAACATTAGGTTTAACGAGTACCTAGGTTTGCTGCTACAAGGAAACTAATAAAGTGTGTTTTTTAGTAAAATATTGATAGCTTAGTACAAAATAAATAAATTTGCCAAGTTTGATCAAAATATATTCATAAACAAGCAAACTACAACATTTGACAATATTCTCCATAAGAATAACATGGGAATTTTAAATTTACAATTTCTTTAATTTTCTCCGTTACTAATAATCGAACAAAAATACTTTTATATACTAAATTATTTGTTTTTTTAAGCTCTTTAAAAAGGTCTAAAGAGAAATTGGGAAATTTTGTGTTTTGAGGGTAAAAAGTGAGAAAAACCAATTTTTACCCCATAAAACCCCCCGTAAAGCCCCGTTCCCATGGTCCGATCGTGCTGGTTCGCGAACTCATTCAAGTTTATCCCGCGTTACACCTTTAAACCAAATTTCATCAAAATCGGACAAAAATTACTCAAGTTATCGCGTTCACGGACGTATATATATATATATATATATATATAAGTCTATATATATATATATATATACATATATAAAAATTTGAACGAATAGTGTTTTTGGCCTCTGGGGACATCAAAATGAAAAAGTAAATCGGTCCCGGGTCTAGGTCTTACCGTGCCACCTACGGTAATAGCTACTTCCCTATAGGGAAATTCGCTAAAATGCGAATTTAAAACAGTAATAGAAACGTAAGAAAACAAGAATAATAAATTGAAGAAAACAGAATACACCTTCCACAACTAAAAGATGCATTCAAACCAATGTCATAATTACACATAACCGTGTAAAATAGTAGTTTACGCAACGATTGCGTAAAGACTATTAACGCGAGTTGCGTACACTACTTTACCTACGACCGTTTTTTAATTACTATCAATCTGGATTTAATTCCTAACAATCACTAATGATAACTTTTTAGAGAGGTTATGTTTTCGTGTATTGTCATTGCCACTGAAAGTGATGCAACGACTTGTTGTATAATCAGCTGATTTCCTGTAATTACGTGTTTGTTAAACTTCGTTAAATATTACATTGCTAGCAGCATTCTTACCATAAATAATATTGTATCAGGTACAATTCGGCAAATATTTCATTTATTTTTGGACTACCACCAACTTAATTAAGAATACGCGAGTAACAACATGAACAAGTCGGATCAACAATTAAATTGGTCAACTGATCAGCTGATCAGCTGATTAGTTGACGTTCGAAGTATTACAATTTTAATTCTTTTCTCTCAATACTTGAACCTCATTGGTCCGTTACCTGTGTGGATATGAGAAAACTATGCGGATATGAAATGAAACTATGCGGATATGAAAGTAAACAGCTGTAAAGTGAAACTTTTCAATTCTAAGAACTGGACTGAAATGGCTACTTTAAAAAACGGTCGTAGGTAAACAGTATTAAGTACAGTATTGTTCAGTAAATAGTAACAACACACGAAATTTCAATCAAGAAACTATTGTTATGTAATCTATCCACAATATGTGTTTCAAAAATTAAAATTGTTCAAATTTGGATTTTAAAACCAACAACACTGAAAGAGCGCAGTACATTTACCTGCGCCGTTGACTATCTTTGACGCAATTTAAACACAACAATGTAGTGAAATTGCATAGTCTAGAGGTACGGCGTTGTATAATATTGACAAGCGCATTGTTAGTGATGCCATAGAATAGATAAACAGCTGTTTATTCATCATATGGTGAGAGCATTGAATATTACACGCTAAATATAACTATTCTGATGAATAATAAATTACTCATCCTTACAGACAGACTAGCTGAAAAAGGTTTTAAGGTATTTTTCTGTTTGATAGGATTAGAACGTGTTTATAAAA